GAAACAGTGCTAAACAATAAGATAACGTACCACTACCGCACTCCTTAGGCAAGAACTTCATCTGTCCGTCCCTGGCTGAAGGGAAGCAGTGCTGCTTGCGAGAAACGCGTTGCAATTAGTTAATATTTCTGTGTTTAGCAACCCAACATTTGGTTCCGAGCTTTCCGCACAGTAGGTAGAATGAAAACAAAAAATACAAAACAGAACACAAAGGATTAGCGCTTAGAAGAATTAATGAAGATCTATGAGTCCCCATGAGATCAATTTGCACTGTAAAACATAGTACCGTAACAAGCGTAGTTAACTTAAATGACCCAACTCATACAACAAGGAACTTCTCATAAATCCTTCGAGCTAGGTAGTCGTTACCACTCGCGCGGTAAATGAGCGCAAGATTATGCGCAGCAAATCGACGCACATCATACCTGAAGCATGAAGGGGTAGTTACAGAAATGAGGACCCGTAGCGATTGCTTTTACTCAGCTATAAGTTTAGAAACAAGAATCTTGAGCAAAAACTCACATGTCACTTGGTCTCTCAACCTCAGTGGCCTTCGTCGTCGGTATAGAAAACGAGAGGTGGAGGCTCGGCAAGAACCTTAAAAGCAAAACTGATCAAATGATGCTCACGAGAGGTCACGTTAATAGCATCACAACCATTCAAAAAACTTGCTCTGATGAGCGGCTATAAGACGAACTCGATCTTTTGTGGCAGCTTTCTTTACCTGCAGCCAGAACGCATCCCTTAACCACCTCGACCCTGCCTTTACCTATACTATTCCACTGCTGATAACCATGAAGTCCAATCCGTCTAGCTAATAGAGGACCAGGAAATCTTTCTATAGAAAAATCGCTCAACTATGTTTGGGAGGCGGAGGGGAGGAGTAAGTTTCAAACGTGCCGATATTGTATTATACCATAGCAATTTGATCTGCTAGACGATACGCCAAGAACTGGTTGTGAGAAAGGACACTATGAAGCTGATAGTGGCTTCGATGGTCTCTCCTTAC